CTTTACTACATCATGGTCCTAAGCAAATCGATACAGTAAGTTCACGTATAAATTCATGTTGGTGATGTGACTGTTAAGTAGATTCTCTTGTTACTTTGTAAGAAATGACCCTAATCGATAGTTACTGACGTAAGCAAAATCGTTGGTTAATTACTTTGAGCAATACATTTCCAAACCGGAGTTTACCGTTTTCCAAAAGAACCAAACCGAGTCCGGTATAGGCTTCCCTTGCTGCCTCCGCCTCAAACAGAAGACAAGGGTTTATTCCGATTGTTGTAAACCCTTTTTGCCGTTTTTTGCTTTCGCTAACCTTACCGGCGATTTTCCCACTCGATTCCCTAGAAAAAAAGTTCTTACTTTCCCGAGAAAATCCGTTTCATGGTTAAGGTCTTGGCTTGGAGGGTAAGATGCTATGGAGATGCAACTGGGTAAAGCCAAGGAAGAAAATCCTTAACGCATTCAGTTTCTCTTCGATTCACGGTCAATTTTCACCGAAATCAAGAGAAATCAGTGAATTTTCTCGGGAAAATACCTCTGGATCTCGTGGAGTTGCTCCAAAGCCGTCACTTACGCACGACAATGTCTATTCTCGTTTACGAGAATCCCCTTATGACCTAAAAACGTTGAATTTCTTCTTCTGGTGCGCGAAGCAAAACAATTACTTCCACGATAATCGAGCATTTGATCACATGGTTGGTGTTGTTGAGAAACTAACTCGTGATTACAACGGCATTGATCGAATCATCGAAGGATTGAAAACACTAGGTTGTGTAATAAAGCCTCGGGTTTTATTGTTATTGCTTGAAATCTTTTGGCGTGGTCATATCTATGATAAAGCTATTGAGGTTTATAAAAGCATGAATGGTTTTGGGTATGTGCCCAACACTCGTGCCATGAATATGATTATGGATGTTCATTTCAAAGTTAATCTTGTTGATCAAGCTCTGGAAGTTTTCGAAGGAATTTGTGTTCGAAATTTCTTTAGTTTTGATATTGCATTGAGTCATTTATGTAGTAGAGGAGATTTGGTTTGTGTTAAGATAGTTTTGAAGATGATGATTAGAGAAGGTTTTTATCCTAATAGTGAGAGATTTGGGCAGATTCTTGGAGTTTTTTGTAGAGCAGGGTGCTTCGTTCAAGGGTTTCAAGTGGTGGGATTGATGATTTGTAGTGGGATCTCTGTATCTGTTCATGTTTGGAGCATGTTGGTTAGTGGGTTTTTTCGATTAGGAGAGCCGCAAAAGGCGGTTGATTTGTTCGATAAGATGATTCTGATCGGTTGCTCCCCGAATCTAGTGACGTATACTAGTTTGATCAAAGGGTTTATGGATTTCGGAATGGTTGATGAAGCGTTTACAGTGCTAAGTACAGTGCAATCCAAAGGTTTAGCTCCAGATATTGTTCTTTGCAATGTGATGATACACGCATTCACAAAACTCGGAAGATTCGAAGATGCTCGTAAGGTTTTCACTAGTTTGAAGAAAAGAAAACTTGTGGCGGATCGGTATACTTTTGCTTCAATGGTGTCTAGTTTATGTGTGTCTAGGGATTTCGATCTCTTTACTAGTATCGCCAATGGTACAAAAACAGAATTAGATCTGGTTAGCGGAAACTCGCTCTTAAACTGTTTCTGCAAGGTCGGTAACACTTTTGAGGCGTTGAAATTATTACGTTACATGTCTAACCAAGATTTTGCTGTGGACTGTTATACATTTAGTGGATATCTTACTGCGCTTTGTCGAGGAGGAGCACCTGATAAAGCCGTTAATATGTATATAAGAATGATCAGTGAGAAAATCTGTCTCGATGCTCATGTTCATACTGCGATAATCGACAGTCTTGTAGAGTGCGGGGAATACAATGCCGCGATACATTTGTTCAATCGATGCATCTCGGAGAAATATCCTTTAGATGTTGTGTCGTATACGGTTGCTATTAAAGGACTTGTGCGTGCGAAAAGGATCGATGAAGCGTGTGCTTTGCTATCCGAAATGAAAGAAGCTGGTGTTTTCCCGAATCGACGGACTTATCGGACTATAATCTCTGGTTTGTGCGAGGAGAAAGAGAATGATAAATTGAAAAAGATTTTATGGGAATGCATTGAGGAGGGAGTTAAGTTGGATCCTAATACTAAGTTTAAAGTGTTTAATCTTTTGTCTCGATATCGCAGAGATGTTTCTGAGTTTAGATGGGTTTTTGAGAAATGGATGGAGAAGTTTGATGTTTCTGATTCATGCGATGAACTATCTGTTTCTGTTGGCTGAGTTTTGAGGGAACTGTATAATGTACAATTTAGAGCTGTAATTTTTTTATGTATTATAGAAATGAAATAGTCTAATTGCAAATCTTTTTTTACTTAATATTCATTTTTTTAAGGTAACTGTAGTACAGAAATCACATGTCCCAATCCGGATAAATCACATGACCACATCGCTTATTTTTTGTATGATATGCTTCAAGATTATAATGAAACATCAAACTAGGCCCGTGACTAATAACACAATACCATGCTGTCTTTTCTGGCCAACCATAATCTTTGAAATCAACGATATATGGAGTAACATTGAAGTTTAATTTGTGAGTTCTTATACGACCGTGATTATTGCGACAATAAATGTCGAGGATACTACCAGGAGTCAGTTGGTTATGAAATACTATATGATTTCTCTTGCAAGCTTCATTTAACCCGAAATACATAACCGTAATTAACATCAAAACTATGAAATTATCCATGTTTTGGATCTAAGATATTGTTTGGAGTAATAAAAACACCAGCATAAAATATTTCTAGTTCTTTTGTGTTGAAAACATTTTTCCTTTCTTTAGTAAGTAATCTATTTTTGACCTTGGCCAAATTTAAACACAAATCCGAACTAATTAAACATCTGGTTAGACGAGAGAGAGTTTAGTGTTGAAAAGAATGTTGACCACTAAAATCAAATCAAATGAATAAGCCTTACAAACAATAATGTACCCCAAAAACCCAATTCAAACCCAAAGTTTATGATGTAACAAGGATTTGTGAACTGAATTAAACCATGTGGCAGTGGCACTATCAAATCATCTTTGAATAGGATTATTGATCATGATATCAAAATGCATTAATGCAATGATAGACCATATTTTTTCTAGTCCAAGAGATTCGTTGTTTCTGCTAGTTAAAAGTTTCAGGGGAATGTGATATGCTGTTTCGAAAAATGGCTAGTGAACTTTGTAATTGATTTACTTTGCAATTGTTTTATCGACGATGGTCCAGAATGAAATATATGATTCAGTATACTATTTTAATGCTATATTTGTCATTATATCATTTTCAATTTTTATTAACATAAACTTGTTAAATAATTGAAAGAGAAAACGAACATAAATAAATACAACAGTTTAAAAGGGTAAAGATTACACATTACACAGAGAGAAAATGCTACAAGTCTAAACAACTACTCTTATTCGATATTTCCCATTTTGGAATTAGTATAGAAACTTGGTCCTCGTACTTGGTCCGGTGGTCGTCAGAATTATCCCGGCTCGTGTTCTTGACAATCTACAGATCCAAAAACGCCTGCAAAACTTCAATCTTTCTTCTATCACAAGAAACCCAACAAAATCACAAAGACCTTAAGACTCTACAATGATTCATCGATATAGAAGTGTGATCATCCACAATAAAGATCACAACTTTACTCACCCAAACGCCCGCCGTTTGATTTCAGCGACAAGTGCGGTTTTACCCTTCCTCGTCCTCGGAGTGAGACTCAGTATTCAAAGTCGTCTCGGACTTAGTCTCCATCAATCGAGGCTGTACACCTAAAACCCACGGACCAAAATCAATTCTCACTTCTCAGAACCACACAACACAAGCTCTTCTAAATGTTATTATAACACATTTTGATCTCCAAATTCAGAATCTGTAACAAAAATCGAGCAATGGCTAACTTTATGATTCTCTATATAACACTATCGAGTTTTCTAAACCTGTGAATGCTCGTTCGATCCTTAAGCGACCTTTAAACTATTCTCAAATTCGATTGAAAAGCTTTAGCAGATTAATAGATTCCGGGAATCGCATACCAATTAGAACTTTTTTCCCAAATCGCATTTTTGATCAAAACAAAAACGATCGAACAAAAAAGAAACCAATAGAACAAAACATACCTTTAAGGAAATAATCAGAGGAAGGCCATCCGTGAGAAGAATTGGCGGAGAGAGATTCTTCGTCGGTTAAAGGATTCGCCAGCTTCGCAACGAGCTGAGCGATTCCATGAGTTTGAGATCCAGATCCAGGAGGAGGGACCCAATAAGAAGCACCCGGAACAAACGGGAGCCAATCAGGAGCAGATCGGCGTACAAATATCCGGTGAACTGCGTCTTCGAGCTTCTGGATTAAAGGATCCGACGGCGACTGAGAGGCGGAGGTGTCGATTTCGTAGAGATCGCCGACGTGGCTAGGCCGACGATCGGAGGATTGAGATCGGGAGGAAACGAGGTTCGATGAAGGGAGGAGAGAGGATGTAGCTGCGGTGAATCGGGATTT